GGGGGGTCATTGGAAAACTACATACATAGCCTTAGGGAGGGATCAGGTAAATTTTATTGTGGCACAACTAAAATCCCCCGACCCCATACCCCCGTGATAAGTAATGATCGGTCCCTAGTTAAACTAAAAAGTTGATTTTGTTTGTTGGAGAATGGGGTAATATTCTGTGCCTAAAACATGACTGAACCATCCCATCCTATTGGATAAAATGCATTACCTAACACAAATGGGTACCGGTTACCCGTCCGATTTGATGAAACAAACGGGGTTTAGAAAGTGGAAAGGAACTCGAGATTTTGACGGTTCGACATCAAATTGTAGTTCCATACCATGCGAAGGAAAATTCATTTTTTCAGCCGACTCCATCTTAAATTCTCAGTTTTTAAATATCACAATTGGAAAAGAAAGCACTCTATGATAAACAAATTTTAGACGGTTTTAACACGAGCTTTTGAAAAAGCTTTTTCCTGTGTATAGTTATTGCAAAATTTTGACAATAAATTAAACGACAAAAATCATTATAAAAAAAGGCACGTTTTCATTCTTACCAAATTTTGACGTGATCTATAACTAAACAGACGCACAGCAACGTGGAGTCTATTCGTTAAGTGTTTGATGTCGGATACTTAACATCCAGAGATGATTGATTCAGTAAGTTATGAAAGTGACTGAAATATTCTTAGATGAACATACAAGAGGATTTAGAAAAGAGATATTTATAACCTTTAGCCCTTGTCATATTGATTTCGCTCAACGCCATGTAACAGAAATTTACCAACAAGGAAGGTGTAGTGTACTGCGATTTGTGCGTTTTTCTCCACAACAACTCCAAATCGGATATGATAAAAAATTATTTATTTACAATAATTAAGCGTCTTAGGCCATGAAAGAAGCACTGTGTCAATCTGACATACTACAACATTAATATTATTTAAACAGGTATTTTACAAAAGGTACCCCTTCAAATAAAACCTTAGAGTTTCCGAATGAAAAAAAAAAACAAAAAAAAACAATGAAACTAAGATTGATATGTAGTTTCTGAGCTTTTCGTTTGAGAGATAAATATCTAAAGGTATTGTGAGCACTTCATGTGACCGTACACAATTTTAAACGTATTCGGCGAATCAAACTCCATTTGTTCTCCAAGAACTAAATTAACTTGTCTGACTTTGTCTGTATTTTTCTTCTCTGTTTCTTTTTAGTAATTGGTTTATACAATACTCATTTTCTTGTCCTACTTCTGTTAGTCTTAGGTCCATGGTTTGTATCGTGGTATTTTCCTCCATTCCTTCTTGTAATGACTTTCCTCCATCCTGACAAAATAAATTTTATTGAAGAAATGTAAAATGGTTTCCGTGTTTACATAGCCTGATGTAAACACGCAGAGGTTGGGAGAACACGAGATAAGCGCAGGAAACCACGACGCGAAGCGGAGTGGTTTCCAGCTCATCGAGTAAGAAAAAAAATAAAATTGTATAAGAACAGTGATTGCCATGCCACGCCCACAATTTCAAACTTCTTTCATTTGGTAAACACATGTGTAAAATTGGTTCGACTGCAAAGAGTGAAAGTTGGTTTTCAGCGCTTTGAACATAGTCGGTAGGTGTCTCAAAAAAATTGTTTCAAGCCAACTGAAATTCGGTCATAATTTGTCTCTCAGATTCTATCGGCACAGTCATTTATATCATACGAAATGGTACCACAAACATTTCATATCATTATACTTGAATTTGTGTCATCAAAGAAAATCCTGGTGATTATTCCTCACTTATGAAATATAGTATTGAAACTAGAAAGCAAAATAAAAAACTAACCGGTCCTATTGTGTTGCACGACAAGTTAATATCCACCAAAGTCTTGTTAGCAGCTAAAACCTTGTGAAGTAATTCATGATAAAGATAGTCATACTACAATGCAAAATCCTGTACAAAAAGATGCGAGTTAGTGTCTTTAAGGTCCAGAAGAGAAAATAAACATGTACTAGCCATGGAAAATTTGATTACTCAATCCTGAACAACAAGGCTTTATCCCTCAAGAGCTGAAAAGGAACTGAAAGAGAATCTCGAAAGTTTCCCAAAGCTCTTCTCCCAGGGTTAACCCTTTAACTCCCAAGATCTCATTAGTAATTCTCCCTCCTGTCTGCCATATAGTTCGTATGATGTTAGTTTGGAGAATTTGGTTTTGAATCAACTAATTATCCCCTACATGATATATTTTTTTATTCTCATCACTTGTCTGCTTGATATTGTATCGATATTGTAAGGAGAAATTCTGTCTTGGTCAATCATGGGAGTTAAGGGTTAAGTTTCATAACGGTTGTGTGTAGCAAAACCCACCTTTTAACGTGTAGAAAGGGGTCATTGATTGCATTGGTTTGAAGTTACTGATTTCTGTGATTGGTTGACAAATCTTGCGCCTCCTTTTCAGCAAATCAAATGCAAAAATAAACCAATTGCAACCTCTTTAGACCCCTTTTCTCGATGTCGAGGCCCGCGGCGAACAATCAATTGAAGGTTTTATTGGCTTAATCTAGGAATCATAATAGCCAATCAGAGGAAAGGGCTGTTCTAATAGGTTGTTGCGATCACATGTACCTTTCGCTTTGATTCTACGCAAGCGGATTTTATGACAATCAATCTAAAAGCGCAGTAACGGAACTTTTCTTAATTATGTTTTTGCATACCTGTGACAAAATAGCCGCTGTTGGTTCACCAAGATCGTTACTTCCAAGATGAACATGCGTGAGGGTGTTGTTTTTAAACAGAGTGCGACAAATTGCTTGACCACCATCATCTCCCAATCTGGGGAAAAAACAACAACCACGTGCAAAGAGGAACTTTAAGTCCAGTGTCATAAAATTTTTAGCAAGAAAGTTCTCAAATGAAAAACAAAATGTAAATCACAAACGATTAAGCAATAAAGATTTATTTTCTTTTTAATAGAAAAGTGTTGGCCAACTGACAGGCGCCCGAATAGGAAGGAAGAATGAAGAACGATTATACGAATGGATTACAAAATGAGAAATAAATGAGGCGGCAATATAGGATCGTATTACAACTATCACTAAGATGCGCACTAAACAAAGATATATAAAGAAAAACGGAGACACTATTGTCCGTTTTATGTGTGAGGCGAGGAAGCGTGCGGTGCAATACACCGAATGCAATATAGGATCGTATGATAATTATCACGGAGATGCACACTGAACAAAGATATATTAAGAAAAACAGAGACATTATTGTCTGTTTTATGAGTGAAGCGAGGAAGCGTGCAGTGCAATACATCGGATGCAGTAAGTAGTGTAGGCCGCTGCTAAAAAGTCTTTTCTCAAAAGTCAGTACTGAGTGCTTAAGTGGAAGTTTAGAACTAGAGTGAGGCAGAACAGATGGACCAACATCCACCCAAACAAAGCGCATCATTTCCGCTCTGAATGTCCAGAAATATTTGAAATGGTTGTATTTTCTGGTAAGTTTAGTCTACGTCGTCTATCCCACCCACACTAAAACTCCAAAGTTACAATAAAAAAAACCTTCTATAAAGGTTAGGTACATATAAGGTAGGTTATGTGGAGTGATCAACCGAAATTGAGAGCCCTTCCTGGCCGTGACTCTCCTTATTGACAAAAACAAAATGGTAAGTAACTCGTACTCTTTCAATAACCCAAACATCCAAGAAGCAGAAGAATTCATAATCGTGCAAATCGGTGGAAAATAGTGATTAAGTAGTAGCAATCGCACAACATGATAAAAACTGGCCGCGGGGGAAACTAGAAATGATTATTCCTAGGAGTTACCGCGTTTCAACCAAAAACGGTTGGTGAAGTGTTCCAATAAGGACTTAGCTGCTTCAACCAAAACAACAGGACCTAAGTGTAGGCTTCATTGCTCAAATTCAGTTAACTAAAATCAAATGAGTATTATTTACCTGTTTAGTCTGAGATTAATGCAAGTTAGCGTGGTATTTTTCCCCAGGGCGTGTCCTATGGCGGCAGCACCAATCGATCGTATTTTGTTGTCACAAAGGTTTAGCGTGGTGAGATTACATCGACCATTCAGTAACTTACCAACCGCTCGTGCACCACTGTCTTCAATCTTGTTATGGGAAAGATCTGAAGCAGTAAATCAAACATGACCTTTCAAGTTACATGTGATGTGTCATTTGGCAATTCAAGGGAATTGCGCCAAACGGAATAAATATGAAGGCTCTCAAAGAAACCACTAAAAGATAACAAAACAAAAAAATTGAACATTAATCTACATTCACAGAGTCACAAAACTATCTACTTTGGCTCCCGTCTGTCATTTTTGTTGTCTCGTTTCATTTGGGATCTGCTCTCAACTGGGAAATTCTATATTTGTTATTCTCGGAACTGTCCAGTAATATTATAAAATGAATGTTATTGACATTTTACAAACCTAAAGTAAGAAGAGAGGGATGGTCCAATACATGACTGATTAAAACTCGCACCTTCTCGTCATCCACACCACTTCTGTGGAGGTGGAAGACTTTTAATGTGTGACATGCCTTCACTGCCTAAGGAATAAATTACATGATAAACTCAAGGAATACCAAAGCTGCATTTTACAGCTAAATCCTTAAATTCCCAGCAATAATTAACGTCAAACACCTCCTCCAAAAATCAGTTATGACAACATCAATACCGAGCTCAAAACTTACCATTTCTCTTATTCTATTTACAAACATGACGCTATCGACATTGCTGATCCTAGCAGTATGCAGAACGCGTTTCACATGAACTTCGTTATAGACGTCGCTCACCATAGAGTTTCAGTGGCTCAGTGGTTAGAGTATCAGAGCGCGGAATCCGAAGGTCTAAGGTTCGATTCCTCATGGGGACTCAGAATTTTTTCTATGTTCCTTGCTTGTAACAAGATGAAAACATCTTCTCAATATCAAGCAAGCTGGTGTCACGAAACTGGACAGACATATCAGCTAGAGGGTGTTTTCTTGATTTAACACCACATTCCCTGTCCATGACATGCAGGGTGGGAAGGAAAAGTTATCAATCAGGTCTTGGAAGATAGAAGGTTTTAACTTAAATTGTGGAAGAAAATGTTGATAAAACTTAAGCTAAATGCAGTTCTATTTTTAAGCTTGGCTTAGATACCCCTACCCTTACTGTTTCTTTTCCCCTCTTTCAGTGTTGTTCAATGTGCTATTTTTCTATAAAAACCGTTTGTTGGTTTATTTAGGTGTAAAAGATGAAGCAATTTTGAAATGGAGGAGGAAAGAGGGCTGTTTTTCAGGAAGTAATATTTTGAAAAGTGAAGCTAATTTTCTCCTTTGTACAAATTACCTCAGAAGGTTCTGTCCTCAATTGTATCTCCTATGTACAATAAACTGGGGATCTCAATTCCTTATTACCTTACTTCCAAAAAAGTATCTAGTTTCAAAAGGTACCGCAAGATAGTAAGTGGCCTAAGGGTAGCTCTCTAGACTCCAGATCATGAAGAAGTTGGGCAAAGCATTGGGTGGGATCAGTTATGTTACATTCTTCTGCGGACCGGACAAAAATTGGAGTCATCTTTATACACAGTGTATGAAGATCCTAGTAACATAACACCAACCTTAGCCAGAAGAAGACAATCTCTGGCAGTAAACTGAAATAAATTCCATTCAAAGTTCATTCCACAATCACGAACACTGTAAGAAAAAAAAGGCAAATCAAGAGTATGTAACTATACAACTCAATATTCTTTCTGCAATTACTAAGAATCTTAAAAATGTATAACTTGTGAGGCATAATATAATACATGTTCAGCTTACATAAAGGAAGGATTTATCACTGCTTTTTGTATCACTGTAATAAATGTAAAGGCTAACAAAAGGAAAAATATTTCATCTTTACCCATAAGTCAAATGAAGTTCTTCCAGATGTATTAGTGATGGTGTGATAAGGCCAAAGTCAAAATGATCAATGTTTGGACCATCCTGTCCGGCATCACTCCCACTAAATAATCAAATGGGTAAACATTATGAGAAAAAATTGTAAAAAAGGAAAGAAAAAGAAGGGAGGCAAGGAAGGTGGAAGAAGTTTCTACTGTATTTACTAGTAAGAATAAGTGTAACAATGAAATAAGCACCTCCCTCAAATATGCACCCCATTTAGGAAAGAATAAGTGCTGTGGTCTCAATGAGGCTCCCATTCCAAGAATTCCTTCACAAGCTGTGCCCTGAACTTGCCTTTTGATGGTTCTAATGATGATGCCAGCCACTGTTTCCAATAAGAACTACCATTTACTATATGGCCCAAAAACTTTAATAGGCCTGTGGCATTTATTCCAGGATATACTGTATTTTCAAAAATTACTCATCAGTCTGAAGTGATGGGCCACACAAAGATTTACTACCTAGTTGTTGTGCACACATCAGCTAGAGCAACATGAATTAGGGATAACTACTTCTAAATAATTCAAGTAAAAAGATTACAAAGTCAAGTTTTTGTAGTTCTCTACTTACGCATCTGAGGTGTCATCATCTTTGATTAAAGCTTCTTTTACAGGAGGAAGAAGTTGTTTGATGTTTAATCCTCTCACATATGGGGCTGACAACTTAAGGGTTTCATTCAACTGTTCAAGAAGGAAAACAATACATCCAAGTAAATACTAATTTAACACCATGACATGTCCAAAGCAGGTAAAGGAATAGCTCTTTCTAAACATAGCCAGCTACATTCAATTCAGATTAACAAAATTTTGGTTTTAATCTTGGATTGTTCCTTGAAAACAAGTGGTTTTGGGGTTTTTCCACACGATTGTTCTTTGTTATAGGGATCCTTTGACTGGTACAATTATGCAACATTAATCAAATGTGGGAATGTTGGCTGAGTATTTGCCCCCCAACTTTGGACAGCTTTAAATCCCAATTGGTGGTGGTAAAAACTATTTGTACATACAGTAGAGCATAATGTGACAACATTGTTTGAAGGATTACTTTAATGCTTGCAAGAATTATTCAAAAGTCAACATTTTTCCCATAGATATTCCAATATCACAACTGGAAGCCAGAAAAGCTTACCAAAGATTGGTCTGTGGTTTCTGGGACAAAATTTTCAATGAGACCTGATAATAAGCAAAAATCAGATCAGGCAGTGTAATTCAATGGCCTTCTTGCAAGTTCAAATCATTTATAGTAATAAGCAGAAACAGAGTAATTTTCAAATTAACCAAATCATCTGGCCATTATTAATTACTGGTATCATCATGATTTAAATAACATTAATGCACCAATATCATGATGCTTTAATTAAAGAGTACAAGTAGTGGAGCTTCTAGAGATGCCAATGGACAACTGCATCAAGTTTTATATTGAACGATAATGGATGACAGGTAACAGGGATGTTCTATGTGTACTGCTAACCCCAAAGACAGTCAACTGCTCTCTAGCCTTGCAATCCCTACAGCTCAAACATTCAGACACCCTCACCAATGTGTTGACAGTGTAAATGGGGATGGAAAAGAGGGTAGAAAGGAAAACATAAAATGGCTCTTAAGTCCCCCTAAAATCTTACTGTTCTAAACACACACCACTTGTTATTCTTATGCAATGCTCTGCTGTTACTGCTGCACAAATAACAGCTTCTCTACACTGTTAATATCAAAAAGTTGATTTATTCAGCTGTAGAAGTACAAACCTTCTAAATTCCTTTCAAAGTACATCCTCTTCCAACTGTTTCCATTCTTGTTGATATCACAAACTTCCCATCGTGCTTTACAACATCTTTTCCAATATCCTTCATCAGAAACCAGTCCAGCAGTAACTCTGTTACATACACAAGAATAAAAAATCAAAGCTGGACCACTTAAAACAATTCAATGAGATTACATAAATGAACATTAAATTAGTGTCTGGAAAAATTATGAAGCTCTGGACAAAACTTTACACATACTTCATGGCAATTTCCGTTGACAAGGCTTCAAGTACTTTGAACTTATGCTTTGGAAGGAGTTCATCAAGAACTGGGTTATCTGTCAAAAAAGTGAAATTTGCCTTTATCATACACATACATGACAGATAAATTTTAATTAGCATAATTTTTTTTACTGAGTAAGAATTTGCATAAACACCAGCCAATTTTTATGGCCTCATAGGTGCACTCAAACAATCACATAATTATGTGATGTCAAGAGTATACTTAACACACTGATGCATTAATTAGTATGATCTCATTTTTCATTCAAGAAAGAGATTACATGTCCAATACTAAGTAGAAATACTGTACTGAGGACTCTAAATGTTAAAAGTAAATTGAAAAAATATGTACAAACATGGATGTATTCCAAGAAACAAAAAAATAACATTGGCAAATGTGTTACCTTCAAAATTTTGCACTATATGCTTCACACAGAGTTCTGTAAGCAGTGGAACAGTGGCTAGACTCCTAGAATACAGAGCACATATTACAACAGCGAAAAGGTTTGAGAACTAGGAGCCAAATGTTTGCAGATGTTAAAAATTATATCCCACAATCAAATACATGTAAGATATGCATCATATGTATTCCACTACCAAAAGATTTTGATTGTTCAGGTTGCCCTTCTCTAATACCTGTGAGAATGAACTATCAACTGTTTATGGAACATTCAAGTGAAAAAAACACCCAAACAAGCTATTGTTTAGTTCTTTTTCCTTTTTATTCTTCAGTTACATGTCAGTCGTCTGATCTTGTTGATAGTTTATCATGCCAATAGTCAAGTGCTATGGACCAAAACAAGTCAAAGTTGTGTTTTATCCAGTCCAGTGGATTTTGCTCTATATTTTGTTTGTTCATTCTGTATATTTGGAGTAGTGTAAACCAAACAAGCAAAGTGTATTGCTCCAATATTAAATGTATTTCCTTGACCTCACATTGCAAACAGACATAATTATGGAATAACAAAATAGATTAAATCAATGACTAACCAGTCAGGATCTTCAGCTATAATCCTCCTCATTTGACGGGGATCAGCTGCAGGATTATCCTTAGTCGCAAATATCTGGTAAGTACAAAAATGAGTTCCCTCTTTAAAAAAATTATTCTGAATATTCATTGCCATGAAATCATGTCTGTAAAAAGTGTTAGTTGTTTCAAAAAATTGTATTTCAATCATTCACATCATTACACAAACTCTTATCTTAAAGCATTGTTCTCACAAAAGTTCTTAGGACATATCCTATTCTCACTTCCAAACTTAAATTGAACAATTACTTAATACTTTAAATAAAACCATGATGACAATGAGTGTGCAAGATTATAGACAGATAGCATATTTTAACCTTCAATTCTTGCCTGAAAAAAAAAATGCTTCAATTACTTCAAACATGGAGGTGCTAAAATGATATGATTGGATGTTTCATACACCATTGTGGACTGGCAAGATTGAAGAAGTCTTGAAAGTGTGGAAAAAAAAGGGTGGGAAGGAGGAGGAGGAGGAGGGAAACCCCCCTGCTATCCAACCCCCATCTTTGAGCTTCTTATCTCACATTCAAAATAGCAGCTATAAAAGTAGTTACACCAAAACGTCCTTGGTTTCAGCCCTTTCACGACTTATTATACAACTCAAGTACATCCCTAACGGTGAAAGTGATGGCTAAGCAGAATGATAACTGAATTCGGAATAACAGGGGAGAGTTGAGTGAGAGCATATTACTTTGAGATCTGATAGTTGGCTACGAGTGTCCTTTGACATTCAACAAATGTTAATTCTTTTTAGTTCTACACATTTTATTGCCAAAAAATGATAAAACAATACGTACTTTATGATCTATAACAATTCATTTTGTTCCATGGACGGATTTTTTACAGCCACTTTATTACATGATCAGCTCAATCTCTGGATGTTATATATGGTATTATACTTACTAAGAACATTTTCAATCACATTCGTTTTCTGTGTGACAAGATACCTCGTTTCCGAGATTAGCACTTCACTGTATTGTTTACTGGGTTATGGGCTGTGTGTTACATGATACCTTTCATAACTGGTTTCAAACTCACTATGTATCTTGTCAGGTACGTACTGAGAGGAGATTTTCAGAACAATCTAATTTATGCCTCATCGCTCTGTTCACAAGAAAGTCTATATAAACAAATATTTGCTCCCCTCCCAGCTGTACAGAAGAGTGGAAAAAGAATAATTTCGTTACAGCGGTCAGACATTACCGGCGATGGAACTTTCCTCCCTGCAACCTCCATTTTCGAGCAATCGCGATTTTCACCCAAAGGCTGCGACGTTGTTGCTATGGCGGTCGAAGCTAAGGCATCGGCTCAGCTTCGATATCTGGTCAGCAGTAGCTTATTTGGTTCATGCTTTTGTTGGAGGCAGTCGGCAACCAAGCCCAGTCCTTGTTCGGAAGACTTAGGATGTTTTGATGGAGAGGAGTAGGGTATTTCCCCGAAATGTCGGAATAGGAAGTCATATTGCCGAAAATATTACCAAGAAATCAACGCCCTAATGACTAAGGTAGATTCCAGATTCGCCAGTAGATTGTTCCATTCCTCACGTGAACTGGACAGATCGATTCGGATCCGAAGACCGAAGGTGGACAAAACTCTAAAACTAACCGGAGAAGAAAAATACACGGTATGTATTATAAAAGTTTCAGTACCCATTTGGAAGCTTTTCTATAACACTCTCCTCTCCTGAGAGAAATTAAGTTGAAACTGGTGTCGAAATTTTGAAAGTTATCAGTTTGGTTTTCATAAAGGGTCACTGTGTTCTTCGTGGTCGTCCATCGGCACGCGTTCTCGCTCTCGATTTAATTTGGTTCAACTCTCTTTTTCCTAATAGAGGGGTTAAGTTTCAAAAGAAACTGTGGTACGTCGGTGGGAGAGTATAACAGGTAATTTGATGTTTTGAAACGTAAATTGGCCACCGTTAAGAGTTAAAAGGCTAACACCCGAAACGTCAGCTTTTAACTCTTTACAGTGGTCTCTTTTTCCTAAATTGATTTCATAGTTTAAATCTCATTGGGACTGCGATCAGTATTCCAGCGCATAATATTGTCATTTAACTACATCAAATCAATCATTTGAGGGATTTTACATACTGTAAAATCATTTGATTTTGTGTATATTCAGAGTGCTTTGCCAAGATTAAGGGAACTGCTCCTTTCTCTGCTAGTTGTTGTATCTAAATCGCTTGACTTAGTTTTTCAACTTTGCACCCGCTTATAACGTTCTGAAAGAAGTCAGCCTTATTTAACACTATTCCTACATTAGACAACCATGTTTGAAATCACCAAAACATCATGTCATCCTGAAGTGAAGGGCACTAAGAATTAAATAAGTGGAGCTCTGATTCTAGGCTCAGGTATAAAACCAGATGTAGATACTGATATATTTTAAAACAGCTTGAAAGTTGGGTTCTATACCTTAAGATTTGAAAAAAAAGTATTTAGAAACAAAGAACATTTAGCAGTAACATTAGAAGCTATTTTAAAACTACAGAAGCATAATCAGTTCTTTTTTAAGACTATGGACAGGTTTTCCAACTTTATGGCTTTCTAGGTGTAAGACCATGAGACCAGGAACTGAGTTTCTCCACGAGAATTAGGAGATCTGTTGTGGTTATGGTACAAATAGAGTTCTTTTGATCAGAATTAGTGCCCCATACATAGGGTTACTAGATTTTAAATTCCCTTAATTCTTTGCATTGAATGTACATGTACAGCTCTAAACATTAAAAATTGTTTATTGCTCTTTCTTGAAGGAACACAATGGTTAGTGATGGTCTTGAGCTATAGAAGTATTCAGTTGAGATAACAAATAAAGATGGCTTGTGGGGAAGGATTTGAATTTATAAATATTGTGCCAAAGAAGCTACCAGTTACCTCAGAAAATGGAGTGGTGATAGTTGACTTGACATCATATGATCCAGTAACCTCTGAAGAGTTTCCTGAATTCTCAAGCATCCAGGATCTTCAAGATTTGAGATTTTTCTCCAACTACCTCAAAGAAATTCCTGAACAGTTTTTTGAGATCAACCACCACCTTAAATCTCTGTTTATGTGTTGTAGTACCATCAAACCAGACAATGGTCTTTTGCGACTGCCAACACGTTTTAACTGCTTTTCTCACCTGGAAGAGCTTCATTTAGTTGGAAATCACTTTGAGGGGTTTCCTTTGCCTATTTGTAACCTTGGCAATGTTAAGACACTGTACATGGATAACTGCACTCTCACAAAGATTCCCAAAGAAATTAAGAACATGTCAAGTCTTGTGGTTGTGGACTTCAGCTATAACAGTTTTGGTAATCCTGACAGTTTACCAAAAGAATTTTTCCAATTGCCAAATGTCAAGGATTTATACTTAATAGATTGTCAGTTAAACGAGCTTCCCTCAGACATAGGAGGATTAAGGAACCTAGAAGGCTTAAGAATTGGAAAGAATAACCTTACTAAGCTTCCAGATGAACTGTTTGATTTGCCCAAACTCAGTAAACTTAGTGTTGAAGGAAACAAGATATCAGAGCTATCCCCAAACATTTGCCAGCTTCATTCTTTGAAACTTCTCTTGATTATGGAGAACAGGCTGATCACTTTGCCAGAAGAAATCAGGAATTTATCAAACTGCATCCATATCAATTTGTTTGATAACAAACTTACATATCTTCCTCGCTCTATCATCGAAATGCCAAAGCTTGAAACTTTAATTGTGGATGGGAACAATAATCTGCGGAATCCACCTCTAGATGTCTGCTCTCGCGGCCTTGACAGTATCAGGGGCTATTTCGAAACCCTAGATGCCCAGGATGTGAATACAGAGACAGTTGATTCACAGCGTTTGGAGGTTGTCCTTTTGGGTGAATCAGGAGCTGGAAAGTCAAGTCTTGCCTATGCTCTTGTTCATGCAAAAGCACTTCTGCACCCAGATAATGAAGCACACAGTACAGTGGGTGTGGATTTCTTTAATTGGAGACCATTTGCCAGTGTCATAGAGTTTCATATTGTGGATTGTGCAGGGCAGAGGAGGTACCAGTTGACACATCCATTTTTTTTGTCCTCAGGTAAAGATAATTACTGTTACTTAAGTTTTAGATATAATCCACCCTGATTTTTTTTCAGGCTTTGTTTTCACTACTGCCTAAGTAGTGTTCATTACTGCAAAGATCACTCTCAGATTCATTTATTAATCTGCAGTTCGCCATATGATTTTTATATATTCACAGTGACCATCTCCCAATTTGCTTTTGTTAGCTCAGTTGGCAGAGCACTGCACCAGTATTGCAGAGGCCGTAGGTTTAACTCTTGCACAGGCCTGAATATTTTACAGGCATTATTTTCATTACTGCTTATTATAAGTAGTTTTTTGTAACTGGGAACTTCAAGATCACTCTGATAGTCAGAAAAGTACTGTGTTAAAGATAATGTTGTAGCATTCCAACATGATGTAAAACTGCAGTCTCAATGATACAGTATATTTCTTTTAGTTTTATACCAGAATGTAGATGTAATGACTTTTCTTGTATTTCTTTTCATTACCATTTTAGAGGCCCTACATATCTTGGTCGTGGATCTCTTTAAGTATGAACCAACTGAAAGCTGTTTTCAGAAGACTGTTGGTGATTGGCTGGATCTGGTCACATCACGCATCTTGAAGCCAAGGATAATGATTGTGCCCACTCATTTGGATAAGTTTGACCCCAGTGATACCAGCACTGTTATTTGCTACTGTAAGGATATCTTGAAGCGAGTGCAAGATTACTGCAAAGGTCAAAAAGCTCTGATTGAGTATGAAATTTCAGAAAAAAGGAAGAAAGGCCTTAAGAATCCTTTGAAGGGAGGCTCAAACCCAGAGTGGAAGATAGACAACCCTCCAATTATTTCTTCTGTTCTACATC